TCCAGCCAGCAGCCTCCACGCGGCTCTCCCTCTCCCGGCCAGGCCTCTTTGTGCGCGCATCTTCATCCCCTTTGGACGAGGTCTGCGGCTTACAAAGCGTGGCCCGCCGGTGCCTCCGTTACTTATATCGCAGAGGAAGAAGCTTCCAGGCAGATAAGCTGCAGCAAAGAAATGTTAATTTGAGGCTGGCCTCACAAAAATACATCTAGAAGCTCTATTTAAAAGCAAACCAAAACACGCTATCTAATTCACACAGGAAATTGCTGCTGGAGGTTACATCAATACAGCCTGCCTGTTGAAAGTGCTGTTCCTTGAAAACCATGCACTCTGCAGTCACATTTAGGGCTGCTGTGCACATTAGCACTCAGCATGACACCTAGAAAATGTGATGAACGGGACAAAGGAGGCCGGGTTAAGATGACAGGCCATCCTTGCACTCCTCAGTCTGCCAAACCTATATACTGGCTGCAGAGCGAGCAGATGCCATGCCAGCTGTCTTCATTTCCAGTTCAACTGTTAATAGGCTGTTTATTAGTCATGAATTCTGGCAATGGAATTCACTACATGTCATAGAATTGTGTTTTAAAAAGTCCATCTTTTCTTTCTAAAAAAAAAAGAGTTCAGCTATTTAGGTCTGCCTGACGGTTGTGGGGCTGGAAGTAAGCAGATCGGTGTTGTGGTCTGCTGTAGCTTTGAGGCGTAGAGGTGCTCACAATACTGGCAGCTTGCGATCTCTCTTAGAGACAGTTACACTGAGGGATTTCTAGGGTGCCTGCTTTCCCTCTCCTCTTCCTGACCTGTGCATCAAGTAGGTGTGAGAAAAAGAAGCACCATTAATACAGTAGCTACAACTTGAGAGGCTGGATGAATTTCTGGCTCCGCTGCAGCTGGGAATACATTCCCATAGATTTAAATGAGGCTGGGGTCTAGTGCGTTGGAGTGAAATATGAATGAACGTGCTGAATAGGTACATTGTCAGGCATCAGCCCAGAACCCCTCCTGGCACACAGAAAGCAGACCCAACCTTATCGCTATCATTTTAACAAGTTGTGTTTGTGTGTGTGTGTGTGTGTGCGTGTGTGAGAGAGAACTGCGATGATTTCAGGCAGACTTTTCAAGGTCTGAAAGAACCTAAGAACACCTTGAATCTCTGAAACGCAACCAGGATACCCCGGCACTGATATCAACAGCCGTTGTGTGGTTGAAGAAGAAAACATCCAGTCTTCCTGGGAGAACCACAAGTAATGAACAAATACATCACTTCCCTTGGTAACTTGTTCAAACTCACAGTTAAGAACGAGTGCCTTATTTCTTAATAAAATTTGCCTCAGGTCCATTTCAGCTATTGGTTGGTGTCAAAGGATTGTACGGGCAAGTAGCACTTCTTTGCAGTACTTGCTTGAGCCTTCTCATATGGGCAGCATTAAAACTGCTGTAGGTTGCAAAGAGTTAGAATTAGTGCGAAACACCCTATGCCATTTATTTCAAAGGCAGAATTCACATAATTTTAGAGGTTGTTGGAAACACTGCCCAAAGGAATAAAATATATTACAAGAGTAAGTTGTTGTAAGGATCACCAAAATGGGTTGTGAAATGAACAGCGAGATAAGCTTTCAAACATTTTTTTGTTTTATTCTGATATTCCCAGGATCTGATTTAAATTATTTTCCAGCAGCTATAATGTCTCTCTGCTTATTTATACACCTATGTGTTTGGTGATGTTTTGGCATTTAAATCCCCTCCCAAATTGAATTATGCTTTGGGATATAATTGAATATGAATTATCAGAACTTTGATTCCTTTGCCACAATGTTGATGGGATCATTAGTGATGCCTTTAAATACTGCTAGTAGAAGCAAAAGGACATTTTAAACCTTCCTCTGTTACAACTATGAGATCAGGCTACTGCAGTTTCAAACTGCTGTTGTTGTTTATTATAGCTCACCTATATTACTGTACCAGTTTGTCAAAGTTTTTTCCTTGATTACCAAAAACTTGAATTTCTCTAGTAGTAATAGAAAATGTTATACTTTTGTTTGTTCCTATTCAAAAGTGTTTACACAGTGTTTCATTTTGAATCCTTCAAAATTAATTGTTGATCCTGAAAACTTCTATAGGATTTGATTACTTGATTGCATGAAAATCACTAGGAACAATATTTATGGCTCTCCAGCTTGCGTTTTTGCTACTACCCCATTGACAGAAATGGCGCAAGGATCTGAGCACATACAGCAGTTAACAGATTCTAGCCTCAGTCACTGAGGGTATCTGTCACTGAAAATTTGAAAAAAAAGAAAAAAAAAAAGCATTGTGATCCACACAGCATGTGAATTGTCTTCACATTCTCAGTTGTGTTTCTTATAAAGGAGTGTACAGAATTTTACCCATTTCTTTTTATTTCTGAAAATCATATATTCATACCCCTGTAGAAATTAACTATTGCACATATTTCTCAACTGTTCTATTATTATAGAATAATATGCTGTCTGTGGGAGGCTTTGTGAGGCATGTTGTGACTTTCAACTCTATAGCAAAAAGCTTAGGTTCCTTTCAAGACCAATTCCTTAAAGCTTATTTGAAAAATAAGTCCAAAGTTGAGGCAAATGGCACAGTGATTCACATCTAGGTATCTTACAATGCAGGATGCAACACTGCAACTGGTGTTCAGTTCCTCAGGAGCTGGACTGCACACCGGTAATGGTATCATGGATAGTCACACATCAATGAAGGTTAAAAAACTACAGAAACAACCATTTTTCATCAGAACTCCACTGTACCAACATGCCTCACAAATGAGGTCTCTCACCCTGTCTTTGCATAGCACCGGTTCACTCAGTCCTTGGCTTTTCATGATTAGCAGGTACTTAGTACTATATTCCCATTAAATAATTCTGCAAGAATTACGTTTGCTAGTTTCTGTAATCAGGGTCTCGTATCTTGTTTCTCTGATAAATAAGCTATTGAGCTTTGCTTAATTATGGCACACCTTGGTGTTTCTTGGAGGATATGTAACTACATCTGGTTCTC